TATTATTATCATTGTTATGACTTTACATCATTTATGAGAGACAGCATTGAATAGACATACTGAAGAAATATCAACTATCCTGATGACAAGTGAAATTAATACTAGTCTTGACACAAGTCCTTGTTCAAGAATCTGTGAGCTAAGAGTGTCCATCTTCCCTGCTATTCCTGTTCTTTCAGGCTGTTGTCATTCATATTATCATTGCATATCATACATGAATTGTTTGTTTTTTAAAATAAAATAAAATCACACACTTGATAAAACAGTAACATGTAAGATTAATACCTTCTTTTAGCTGGAAACCTCCAGTAAAGTATTGCAGTAGTCATTCCAAGCATAGCTTGGTAAAAAAATAACTTGCTTCTTCCAGAGCTCCAGATCCATAGATAATATACTGTACTCTATTATCTATGGCAGATCTGAGCATGCGCGACCACACCCAAATTTTGGAGCACATGCTTCTTTAATTAACAAAATGGCTGCATGCACTGAGCTAAGATAGCTCTATCCAGCAGTCACAGTATCATTTTTTCTTTACTTGAAGAATGATCTGATGGGACATGGACCTGCGCATAGACTTTTGGAGTAGATTGGTGTAAGAATTATCCTTGTAGCACCAACCAATACTGAGATACACACCGACAACGGGATTGACAGGACTTGATGATGATGAAGAAGATGATGAAGATGAAAAAAGGTGGCTGAACAAAACGGCCGGTTCGCTGATTTTTTAATTTCCTCTTAGACAGGGCCTAGAGCCACGCTAGTTGTACCATTGGAGTCCTTTGGTCAAGATAAGGTCCTCTATAAAGTCTGGTAAGCATAGGAGCTCGTTTTCCCGGTATAGCAAGGCTGCAAAAGTCGTGGCAGCCATTTTGTTTGGGGGTGAATCCTACTTAGTAACGCTACCGCGTTACTATAGTACAGGGACTTTGGCCCGATTTTTGAGTAACTTTTAAAATTCATAAAAATCCATATTTGATTGGAATCAGCTCAAACTTTCTACGCAACATAAGTACATGTATATGCATCAGAAAATGTAATAAAAATGAAGAATTTTCACTTTGTCATTTTTGATGAAATTTGGACAATGACCCTGTACTATAATAGTACAGGGACTTTTGTCCGATTTTGGAGCAACTAATAGTACAGGGACTTTTGTCCGATTTTGGAGCAACTTTAAAAATTCATAAAAAATTTATATTTGATTAGAATGAGCTCAAACTTTCTCCACAGCATAAGAGCATGTATATGCATCAGAAAATGTAATAAAAGTGGAGAATTCTCTCCTTTTCATTTTTGGCAAAATTTGACCAAAATGTACATATACATGTACATGTATATCTACATTTTTCTAGTACCACTGTACCACATTTTAACTTCAATTTATTTTATTTTCATAGCCTGGTCAAGATGAATACGACTTGGGTACTAATCCAGACGACAGTGATGATGATGATCTTAACATGGGAACTAAACTAACACTAAGAGAGCAGAAACAAACCAGAGCTAGTTACAATCCTTATGATACCATGCCCATTGATGGGACACTCTCCTTCACCTCTCCTCCTCCTCTTAGTCACCCTCCACCCATCCCACCTCCACCCCCTATGGGTAAGCATTATTGTTATTATTATTATTGTTATTATTATTATTACTAATAAAAATAATGATAATTTACAATATTTTTATTGTTTTAGCTATCATTAATTTATCACTATTATTGCATGACTTGCAAGGATAAAATTTTGGCAATTTTTGCATTTTGATAATCGTTAAAAACCAGCTAATTTGTACCACTGTATGTGTCCTTAATGATACTAAATTTGTCAAATTTGCCGCATTAAAATTCACTAAATTTAGCACAGTAATTTATCAAAATTTTATCTTTCAAAAATTACCAGCACATGTACATGTATACATGTATGCCTACTCTTCATGTATTTTTTATTTTTATTTTTAGATGAGCCTACATACGATGTTGCTGAAGGTATAGAAGACGCTCACGGTCACGTCACTCAACCTCTTCCTCCCAGTCGAGACCACGCCCCCAACCACACCCCTTCATCCTTAAACCCTAAACAAAGCAAGCAATCCATATTTGATGATTATGCCGTTTTAGAGCAAGATTCGGCCGAGCAAGCACCATCATCCACGCCCCCTACAACTCGTCCCACCCCTCCAACAACTCGTGCAACACCTCCTACATCTCGTGCCACGCCTCCTACTTCTCATGCCACGCCTCCTACTTCTCATCCCACTCCCACTGCTAGTGTTCCTGATCCGCCCCCACAAGAAGAAGACTATCAGTTAATCACGATAAGGCAGCAACCTTCGATCGATCGCGATGAGCTCCAGATTGATATAATACCCGAGCAGCCTATTTATAGTAACAATGACGTCATCACCGATGATCCTATTTATGGTAACAATGCTATCGATGATTGTCCTGATTATGATGACCCCTCAAACCTCTCCCCTCCTCCGATTAACCCGACACAATTGGGAGATTATGATGATCCTGATATTATACTGAACTCTGCAGGTAAAGATGATTAATCCATTCTCTTTATTACAACGAGAGAGGGAGAGAGAGAGGGAGAGGGGGGAGGGAGGGAGGGAGGGAGAGGGAGAGAGAGAGGGGGAGGGAGGGAGAGAGAGAGAACACATAATTTGTTTGTGTTAATAATCATTTTTACATGCAATTAAGTGTAGACTGTTTTTAAATACAAATATCACGTTTACATGTACATGTACATACACTTGTACTTGTACATGTAAACGTTTATGTACACGTACATGTACAATGTACGTTGATATGCATGGGCTTACTTTATTTGGCATTCACCATTTGTTTGTTTACATTCAACTCAAACTGCAGATGTAAAGCATTACTTATATAGTCACGCACTACACACATACTTAAAATACTATACAGCTAATAGTGCATGTACATGTAATTATTTATTGATTTATATCTGTGTTGAAGCTGATTAACAATGATGAATGAAGTGATTATTGTGGCTGTGAATGGAACTCTTCCTATGCTACTTGTACACTAGCTGATACCTTTAATAAATTGAAATTAAATGTACTTAAATAATCTTTGTTAGATCTTGAAATATATTTTGGTTTAATGACACCTACAGTAGCTATACTGTAGGCTAAATATGAGAGACCAAAAATGAGAGATTTCAGGAGACCGTGACCAAATATGAGTCTCCTAAACTCCCTTTAGAACTAATAGTAGGTATCATTTCTATAATTGATTTTGAAAAAACAGTTATAGTTATAATAATAATATTATTATAATACTGTTGTTGTTATTATTGATGTTGTTATTAATGGTGCTGTTATTATTGATGTCGTTGTTGTTGTTTTAGGTGCTGATGATGTAGATGGTGGTGAGCCTCCTCCTCCTTCTTATCGTGACATTGTTCAGAACCCTCCCCCTCCCTCCCTTCCCCTCTCCGATCAGTTTGAAAACAACATTTATGCAACACCACTCGATGATTGTAAGAGAGAGTGTGAATGTTAACAATGAATGATAAACTAATGTACATGTACATGTAACAATATTGGTGGGGAATTTGGAATTGATATTGTGAAAATTGTAGTTTGTAAAGTAGAAGTTGCCATCATTAAATCATACATGTACATGTACAGTATATCTAATTTTGATATGTTTTTTACACATGGCTGCTAACCTGCCATCTGCAAAACAAAATGTGAAATGCTGAACTTAATTCCTGTCGATAATCTTTACCCTCTCTGTCTCCCTCTCTCCCCCCCTCTCTGTCTCCCTCCCTCTCTTTCTCTTTTTAGCTCCTCCTCCTCTACCTGACGTTGATCCTTTTGCTCCCCTCAGTCTCCAGTTATACTTCCATGGCTGCATATCCCGTAATGATGCTGAGATGTACGTACAAGATGATGGGGATTTCCTTGTTCGTGAGAGTATGAACAAACCAGGACAGTTTGTACTGACTGGTAAAGCCAACAGGAGAGCACAACACTTACTGCTAATAGATAAGAATGGACGGGTAAGCCAATGATTATTCTGATACTAGATATTGTTTAAGGACACCTAGGGCTAAATATGAGATATACAAAAAGCTTAAAATGGGGAGATTTTAGGAGACCTAGACCAAATATGAGACCAAAAGTCTCCTAAACTCCCTCAGTGATGATGACATAAATATAGTACATGTACTATTGCATGTACTTGTAATAATAGTATAAAGGTTATAGAGGACGTTTGAGCTATTGGCTAAAATAAAATACTGTTTACTTCCTAAAATAAAATTGTTTACTTCCTGTTCTTGTTCACACTTTAGTTAACACCTTGTAGGTGTGAACAACATGTTTAAATTTTTCCAGTTATGCTTTTACTTTGATTTATCATTATAGCTTATAGTTACAATGATAATAACAATAATACGAGCAATAATACAAAGTGTGGAGGGAAAAATAATGCCTACATGTAATATGCTATTGCATATAGCACCTTAAATATGCAAGTATTTTTTCTAAATATTATTTTACTTATAGTCTAAATGGTTTCTTATGCATGTACATGTACATTTACATCCACATTTATAATTCTTTAGGTTAAATCAAAGGACAAAGAGTTTGAGAGTGTCCCTCATCTTGTCAAGTTTTTCCACGATAGAGTCTCACCTCTGACCATTGGGAACTGTGAAGTGTTTCTTAAAAGACCAATTGAACACAAATAATGATAATAATAATGAATTATTATTTTAAAAATAATAATTACTGTAGTTAATTTTCTTTCCTTCTTTCTCGATAAAATTTAATTATTGTCCATGTTTGTGGTATTACAATAATTATTATTTTTTATTTTTTATTTGTATTGCTCAGTCAATAAATTGTCCTGTGTATTCATCAGTGTGTGGCTATTATTAATTTTTATTCTTGTTAATAATTAATTACATGTATTGCTATTATTTATTGAATAATTATACCAAACTTGATAAAACCAGTCACTAAATGTCAATCGGAAGTAGGTGTGGTTTTCTGATGTGTTGTATGTTGGTCCCAGGTTGGGTGAGATTGAAGGGGGCGTGGTTACCATAAGGTTTTGGAAGAGGTAAGTCTGTCCGTAGGTATTATAACGCTACCACGCTACTGGACTTTATCCAATTTTTGAGCAACTTTAAAATTTTTTTAAAAATCTAAATTTGATCAGAATGAGTTTAAACTTTATACTTAAAATAATTCTCTACTTTTAATTTTTGGTCAAGTTTGACTAAATACTATAGTCTCAGTAGTACTGTAGCATACCAAAAATTAATCTCAGTGGAGCTATGGGGCACCCCATATGGAACAAGTTTACAAATTTGCAAGAAGCACTATGCCAAATCCTATGTGAAACCCTGTACATTATTACACTTATTAGTCTCCAATCTTATTAATGTTGTCTGACTCTCATTACATTATCTCCATTATATTATTGGGCTGAGCCCCACTAATTGTCTCGTTTGTTTGTATGCATGTAACTACACAGCCAAGAGTTAGCATGTATGATACAAGACCATAGGCGGCTGCAGGCCTAGGCATTGGGGGTCATTGCTTAGGTTAAAAATTAGACCAGAAGCAGAAACAATGCTATTTAACCCTTTTACCACACCCCTTTAATTAGAAATGTCTAGGCTGAGTTGGACTTCTGCAGCTGCCAAAGTACAAGACACTGCCCAAAATCAATGAATAGAGCCTGATTACAGTATTGATGCAGCCTAACAAGTATCATTGCTGAATCATGCATGTTGCTCTGGCTGAACCAGTATGAATTCCAGCATGATTGTATCAAGGCTGATAGATCCAGCTAGGCTCATTGCCATATTAGCTGCCCAACATCCATGATTCAGGATGCATTAGACCGGATCAGGGCTGACATCATTCATGAATCAATCATAAACTCTTGGCTGTGTATGTACCGTACTCGCCCCAAATAACGTAGAAATTTACCTCTTATTACATATCTCAGGTGGTGCATTGTTTAAATAATGGATAATGGGGCCCACAAGAACACAAAAATTAATGGCGATCAACACACAGGAAGAAGTCATCATGAGTATTCTAGCAACCTGATATGGCAAACACACAGTTCAAAGACTTCTCCAACAGCTTGAGAAGGTTAAAGATGCAATAAAGTAACTATGAAACTCCTTTTTGTTGACATAATAGCTATAAACAAACTGTAAAAATCAAGCAAATGTCAGTTTCTGACTGACTTGCAAACTTTCTACTGTATTCTACATCTGATGCCATCAGATGTAGATTACAGTAGAAAGATTGCCAGTTGCTTTAACTCTAAGAGCTTTTTACACTGACTTGCAAATGCCATTAGTCTGATGTCAGCTAGTGTAAAAGCTCTTAAAGTTAAAGCAAGTTAAGCCTTAACAGGCTCTTTTGGGCAACAAAGATTTTCAAGTTATTTCATTTCAAAGTCATTTCAAAGATATAGAATATATCTATATCTTTGAAGCTGAAATGAATACTAAACTCAACCAAAGGCTAACTTAATCCAGTGACACAACTACATCTAATAGATTGATTTTGTTCATTTTTGTCATTGACAACTTGAAATAAACTATTAAAAATTTTAATAGCTTATTATTTTCACAAAGCTTGCTCGTGCTCGCCCCATAATGTTTTAAACATCGTCCTAGTAATTATGTCTTGTTCAACCTCTCTCCCTCTATCATCCTTTAGGTTAATAGTGTTGATGGATCATATTGTTCACAATGTGGGCAGCTCAACATGCAGCATTGTGTAAAGTACTCACTACATGTCATCAAGTATCTCTGTAACAAGAGTGTACTCTTTAAATCAATAGACCACTAACATACAGATAGACACTGTATGCATATACTGACTGTAACAAAATGCACTGATTCCTCAATTTCAGCTGTTCTATTGTACATTTTGTGTATTGTGAGATTATTACTAATATTGTTATTTAATAAAAAATTGAATGTAGCTATCACACCTATTATTTCCATATTTGGAGGATGATGAGTAGCTCACGCATTATTACTGAACCTCCCAGCGGTAAAACAAGATGAGACCATAGATATTATAGACTACGTAACAAAGCTAAAACTATAGAATTGTTTATACACTTAAAGTAATATGATATTATAGTAGTACGTGACATGTATATAATTAAATCAGTAGTGTAGTAGTAATGCAGATTGCTTGATTATATATATAGGTTTGAAGCAATCTGCACTAGTAGAGCTACTACTATTGATCTAATTATACATGTCACACACTACTACAATATTATATTACTTTCAGTGCATAAACAATTCATAGGCTTAGCTGAATCTCATTTCACACTGAGTGAATGTACTAGTCAGTACAGACAGTAGCTATGTCTCTCCTGTTAGTGGTTGTTCTCTTATTCTTCAGTAGCTCCTGCAGTGTCTCCTCTGGTCAGTATTATGTGTCTGATGACTGCAGTTCAGTTACTCAGTCACCTTGTAATCCTTTATCAGTGTATGCTGGGGATATGTCTCAATACAATAACACCATCTTCTACTTCATTAGAACTAGTGTCATTAACTTTAATGTCCACAATGGACTCAGTACAGAATATAACTCTACATGGACTGGACCAATCTCCTACTTTTC